CTTAGAGAGGGCTGAAAGCCCTATGAAGCGGTATATAAGTCTAACTGCTATTGCTATTGCTATTTATGGCCATTGCAGCATCCTATCGTCATGTGAATCAGATAGCAGTAGCACTTAGACTTATATACAGCTTTACAGCCTTCTCTAAGTGGTTTGCAGAGTCAGCCTATTGCCCCCAACAATCTGGGTCCTCATGTTACCCACCTCGGAAGGATGGAAGGCTGAGCCAACCTTGAGCCTGGTGAGATTTGAACTGCCAAACTGCAGGCAGCCAGCAGGCAGCAGAAGTACCCTGCAGTACTACACTCTAACTACTGTGCCGCCATGGCTCAGATGCTTGACAACTGACACACATTTATGACGGTTGCAGTGCCCAGAGTTGTGGGATCCCCTTTTGCGATCTTCTGACAAGCAAAGTCAAAGGGGAAGCCATATTCACTTAACCACTGTGTTATTAATTGAACAATTGCAGTGATTCACTTAACAAATGTGGCAAGAAAAGTTGCAAAATGGGGCAAAACTCACTTAACATATTTCTCACTCAGGAATTTTGGGCTCAATTATGGTTGTAAGTTAAGGACTACTTGTAATGAAAATGAATGAATGAATGTGAACTGAACATAAAAGTGAATCATTGTAGGAAATATCAAGGAAGCTGGCCATATACAAAGAACAAATGAGAATTGTGTCAGAAAACTTTTTTTTTTCTACCTGATGTTTTCACCGCAGGTATAAGGTCTGCTTTTTGGATCAAATGTTGATTCATTAGTTGTAACCATTAGAGGCAGAAAAAAAAAGTGAATGGATCAAAAGGAAGTGGAAGAAAGTAAGTTTTGTTTGGGTGAAATTGATAAGATCCTCAAAAGGAGAAGTTCAAAGACTCAAAGCAATTTGCAAATGTACGGCTGGACTTGATGAATGTCAGTGTAGTCTGAACTAGGACAAAAATATACGGTGAATGGTTCATATATTTATGGATTTAACTGTATCTTATTTTGTTTTCCTTCATTACTTGCCTCCATTATTTTTTTGCTTATTACTTTTAATTCCTTTTCTGTGCTTTGTATAATGTTACTTAGCCTTAGGCTATTATATTGTGGCTTTATTCCTTGAAAAGTGCTTTATCTTTCTAAGGAACTGAAGGTCACAAGCAGAAATTTTCTTTTCAAACCATCAAGATGACACCAATGGCTAATGCAGATATATAAGGACAAGAGTAAATATTTGAGGATTAGTAGTTATTATGCAAGTTTTTAGCTTTCCTTCTTTCTTGGAATGGGATTCTAGTGTTGTGCTTTTAAAAAGCACAAGTGTTTGACCCCAAAGATAACCAATTACTTTGAAGTTCTTTGAAAATAAGACTGAATGACAGCCCAACAACACTCAGGAAAAAAAAAACCAAATATAGGTGAATAAATGGTAAACGACTCATTTTTATGTCTCATTTGTCAGATTCCCACCAATTCCAGGTCCTCACCTTTGTTCCCATGGAAACTGAAGAGATGGTGGCTGTACTGCTGGCTAAACTCAGACCACTTTTTGGTCGATCCCCTTCTGACATGATCTCTGGTGAATTTGATGTTAATCTGCAAAAAAAAAAGCCCAGAAGATTCTGTTATAAATGTGATACTTTAGAGTAGTGTTTCTCAGTGGCAACTTGAGATAGCACGGACTTCCAACTCCCAGAATTCTTCGTGACCCGACAAAAGCGCGAACGTCATAAGCGCGCCGACAACACCGCGGCGCTAAAACCACGATGTCAAAAGCGCGCCGACAACAGCGCGTCGACAACAGCGCGTCGACAACAGCGCGCCAACAGAAGCACGATTTAATTTAAGGTAAGATTTATGGTTAGGTTTATGGTTAGGTTTATGGTTAGGTTTAGGGTTAGGGTTAGGTTTAGGGTTAGGTTTAGGGTTAGGTTTAGGGTTACGTTACAGCACGCTTCTGTCGGCGCGCTTTAGGGCTAATTCGTTGCTCATTCGTCGCACGGTTTTGTCACTGCGCTTTAGACACCGCGGTTTAGTCAGGCGTGCTTTTGTTGTGCGCGCATTTGTGGTGGAACCGAATTCTTTAGCCAGCCATGATGATTGAGGAATTCTGTGAATTGAAGTCCAAACATCTTCAAATTGTCAAGGCTGAGAAACACCTCTTTAAGGGGAACTCATGAGAACAATTTAAAACAATCTGCTTTTGAGAAAGATGGAGCATATGTTTTCAGCTTTTCAGAAGGTATCAAATTTAACCATCACCAACCACTTATCTAGAATGGGACAAGATCTCCTGCTCAAACAGAGGGTTGGACTAGAAGACCACTAAGGTCCCTTCCAACCTTGCTATTGTATATAATTCTAACTCTTAACCAATTGGTGAATTCAGATTTGGTCAGTTCTTTAAATCTTTACCACTCTCTCCTCTTTGCAGACTTCTCTTCCCTTCCTTGTTTCTTTTTAACAAAAGTGAATTGAGTCTCTGTCTAGAACAATGCTTCCCAATGTGGGGCCGCACCCCACAGGGGGGCAATTTGATTTTTAATGGGGGCAATTTGAACCTTGTTTAAACCAAGTTAATGGTCTTTTAGGCTTTCCTCCATGTGAGTAGAGTTCACTTTTTGAGTAAAGTAAGAATTANATAGAACAGAATAGGAATTGAAACTTTTGACACTTTAAATATACACTAATCAGCATACATTAAAATTAAATTTTGTTGCATTCAGCTCTCAAAATATAACTATTATGCACATACTCACATACACACACATATGTCGCAGAGAAACATCACAGTTTATTTCGGATATATATGTAAACAGTACATGGTGGAAAAAATCCTGCGAGTTTATAAAACAGCTGGCATAAGGAACAAAGCACAATCTAGTAGTCCTGCTATATAGATACTTCAAAACCTCCTCCCAGAGGGGAGCAACAGAAATAGACCATAAAGTGGGTATGTGGGGTCTCTAACAATGCTTTGAGCTCTAAGCACATAGCGCTTATAAGCTGTACCCTGAATAACGGGAAGTGAGCTTCCTATAATCTTCTCGGCTGTCCTTACCACTCTCTGTATGGGCTTTCTACCTGAGGCACTGCTACCACCAAACCAAACAGTGATGCAGTTTGTTAAAACGCTCTCAATCGCGCCTCTGTAAAAAGTGGCCAGGACAGAAGGAGAAAGATATGCTCTGCTCAGTATTCACCACACATAGATATTGCCTCGTTAAAGCTGAGGCAATGGTCAGATTCTAGGGTGGTTTCAAGGAAACAGTGACCATGGACATTTAAGAAAAGTTCCATCATCACAGGAGAGACAAAAGCATAAATGAAGTCCTTCCTCCTGACCTTGAATACAAAGCGACGGTTCTTCTTCTCCTTGGAGAAAGCTGTCCGAATCTCATAGCTGGGGAGGAGGATACTGCCCAAAACCATCTCTTCACGGCTATCTGGAATACAACCCACAAAATCCCACAGAAAGAAACTTCAGTGTTGCTTCCCAGGGCTCCTGCTCAGAAAGTTACAACTTCCCAATCTCCGCCAACATGACTGTTTCAAGGAACTGGGTTACGCTTACAGCAGTGTTCCTCAACTTCAAACCGTCATTAAGTGAACAGTCATAAACCAAGGACTACCTGCATTTCTTTTTTAAACTTCTGTCCTCAGAACCTGGGGATGTTGCTTTGATCTCTGCCTGATCTTGATGCATCTCCTGAGCTACAAAACAGTCCTACCTCCAAATGCTTTGCTTCCATCTCAAGGAAAACCGAAACAGAAAGTCGAGAAAATCCAAATTACCTCGGTAGTAGAAGAGGCAGTAATTGGAAAGGACAAACCAACGCCGTTTCCATAGTTTCAGCCCAGAGCTATCCTAAAAGAACCAAAAGGAAAAGATGGTGAGTTAGGCAAAAGCTGCGTCAAAGTTTTACCTCAGTAAAACAGGATTGCCTGATTTTAAATTGAATTGAATTGAATTTATTTCATTTATATAACTCTTTTTAGGGCTCAGATCCGCCACAGTTGTACAATGATATCAAATGAGTCAGGATCATTTAGTGCTCATGATCAGAATTTTCCTTTTTTTTTTTTCCTGGGGTTTTAAAAGGGAATTGTGAAGAGTCGTTCAATTTTTAAAGGATGTTAAACCAAATTTAAAACTAGCTACTGTTTTAGCATGTTTCCAAACTCAAGAAAGCAAGAAAACAACATACTTCAGCAAAGCACAGGTACTCCTTGGCTTAACAACCATTTGTATACAGGTAGTTGTCAATTTACAACCACAATTGAGCCCAAAATTTATGTTTCTGAGTGAAAAATTTGTTAAGCCATTTTTGCCCGATTTCTTTACACATTTGTTAAGTGAATCACTGGAGTTTGCCTGTAGGGCTGTTTTTCACCCTCCGGAGCCTTCGTCCCTTCCCGAACTTTCAGTTTAAGTGTTGGGTTGTTTTTTGCCCTCCGGAAGTTGCTTGGCAACTGGTTCATATTTATGACGGTTATGGTGTCCCAGGGTGTTGCGATCCCTTTTTGTGACCTTCTGAACAAGCAAAGTCAGTGGGAAGCTAGATTCACTTATCAATCATGTCATTAACTTAACAGCTACAACGATTCACTTAACAACGATGGCAAGAAAGGTCGTAAATGGAGTGGAACTCACTTAACAACTGTCTCACTTATCAACATAAATTTTTGCCTCAATTGTGGTCCTAAGTCAAAGAGTCTCTGTAATCAATTTTGTGAAAGCTGAGACTTTAAAATATAGATTACTTAAAAATCTTAAAAGGTGTTATCAGACTCCTTCTGATTTTGGACTACTTAGATTAAAACCGTTTCTTTCCTACAGATCTCCCTTAAAAGTCCATCATCCCTCAAACTAAGAAATATGCATTTCTCAGAAACTGTTTACCTGCTTATAAAGCCAGCCACGCATTATAACAGGAGAGTTAGGATCTCTCTTGATGGAGTTTGCTCTCTTCCCAAATGTATGCACTTTCCGGACTGGCCGGGCTGCGTTTGGCTACGGAGAAACAAATGGGTAAATGCAAAATCAACTTACTGAAGAGAAGAGAGCAAAGGAGAGGGAAAGAAGAAAGAGGGAAGGAGAGGAAGTCAGGGAGGGATCAGAAGAGGAGAGGGGGTAGGAAGGGGAAGAGGAAGAGAGGAGTAGGGGAAAGGAAGGGGAAGAAGCAGAGGTGGGTTCCTATTAGTTTGAACCTATTCGGTAGAACCGGTTCGTCAAATCTATTGAACTGGTTAGAAGAGGTTCCACCAGTGGACCCGGAAAGCAGGCCACACCTACAGAAGAGG